CCATTATCGTCGTGTGGAACAAAGCGCTGCGCGTGCATCCATCGCTTCGCTAAATTAGGCGACTGTCTGGATAAATGTCACGGACACTTGGGCCATCTGTCTGTTACCTAACCCCCTGGTCTTCTGTTCCCCCACCCCACCGCACCCCTTCATCTCGCTTGAGGTCACCGCAGATGGGTCTGGAATAAACACAAAGATCCTCCAGCGTGTGGCCTTTCTGGCCGGAGGGTGTCGCGTATTGCCCGCTCGCTCCCGAGCAGTGATCGGCGAACCTGCTAATCTGGAGTTGGTGCACGCGGCTCTTTCAGGGGGCTGCCTCGTGGAGCTCTTTATTCTCTTTATTAGGGGGGGGGGGGCACCACCGCCTCGCATTCGCCACCGGCAGTGCAAATTTGCGGCTCTTGAAATATTTAGGGGTGTTTAAAAAATATATTTTGGACCGAATTCGAACTAAACATGGCTCTTATTGTTACATTGGTTTGCCGATCCCTGAGATAGCAAAGCGATCGTCACCACCCCCCCCCCCCCCATCATAGTGCGAAACGAATCAGGACGCTCCTGATATAAAAAACGGGGTCTGGAGATTGAGGTTGCCACCTGTGCAGGTTTGACCTGGGCAGTCCAGGAAACGTCACCCGTGTTCTGATGGCAGGAACATACAGTACAGTTGACCAAAATCTGTCGGTATTGTGCTGAACTTTATTACAAAAACACTGCACAGTGTTGATAGGCCGTGGCTGACGGAGAAACACGTCTGGGTCTGGTCTCACTGAGACTCGGCGAGGCTTTGCTGGCTAAAAACATTCTCGGGACTCTGCACTGTTGCAATGTTTCAATGCCGGTGCTAACCCGAAGTGTCCGACTTCAATTTGGGGCTGTGGGTAACATCAGAAGGCAAGCGGTAATAGCTGGTGCAATAATACAATACCGAGAAGATAAGCATATGTTTGTACAACAACAACATGACGATTTCCCATAAGCATAGCTGGCAACACATACAGGTCACTCCGTATTCTTGTACAGGCAAATTGAGTTTTCAGGTCCATACGGCGTACAGCCGTTTTAATACGGCCACAATTTGTTTAGTCCATTAGTTTGTGTTTCTCCCTTGTGATGGGAACTTTGTAGGATGAACTTTGAGATTTATAAGGGGCACGGGGTGACCAATAAGGTCTGAAATGTTCTGTAATAAGGTAGGGCACTGACAAGGGGTTCACAGCTATGCATGAGGCCTGTGGGGGCAAGGGCTGTTGGTGAAGGCCGTCATGGCCACCGCGGTCTCCCCACAGTGCTGCCGATGTTTACGGGCTGCACCAGGAAGTCATTTACGGCTGAGTCAATCTAGGGGAGCCCCAGGGCCGGTTCAGATGTCCACCTTCGCCACGATTGACACTAAATCGGGTCGCCGGGGTTGTGGCGCAGTGCGAAAAACTCCGCACCGCCCCTCTCCAGAGTGAACACAAAGACAAAGATCCTCCGTATAGCCTTACCAAACTGTTAGGGGCAAGTGCTGTTAGCGAGCACCTATGAAGGCCGGAGCGGCACACGAGGGGGTGGGTGGCCAGCGCCACGCCCGCCCGGCCGCCTTTGTCTCCCAAGTGGCGATGTTTACTAAACATCGCACCAGGTACTCATTTCGAGGCCGAGTCGAGCTTGGAGAGGCCCAGGACCCGTTCAGATAATCGTCACTGATGTTGGTCGTGAGCGAGCGGGAATCGAACTCGGGTCGCCGGGTTCGAAGTGCAGCGTGCTAACCACTACATTACCGCTCCCCAGAGTTAAACAAAGACAAAGATCCCTGGTATAGCCTCTAACAGACTGTTGGGGCCAGTGCTGTTATAGCGAGCACACAGGAGAGGATTGGTGGCCAACACCAGAGTAAACAAAGACACGCACGCCACACTGATCCGGCCTCCTTAAAAGAGTTTGTGACCCACCAAAGAGACGCGAAAATAAGAGGCATTGCTCGCCACCACCTTGCCATTGTGCGTGTGTCCGTTCCGTCACGCGCGAGGGCGCAAATGTACACGGAGTTATTTGGACAATGGTAGCAAAAGCAAATGTTCTTGTTGATGCGCCAACATCGCCCCTTTGAAATGTCACCGGTACAACACAAGCGAGCTGCTGACCTACGCGGCCCCGCGCTTAATGTCACGACGTCCACGGGTCAATGCCAAAAAGCGACAGCACAAAAGTGCCCCTGCCCCAGTTGCCAGGCCAATGTGGAGCACGCACACACACGTCGAGCGAGTGGCTTCGACGCGGCGATCACCACCGCTGCTTGGGCCATGGGACATCGACGGAGGTTGTTACACTTCCTTTACGATTGGTCTTCTTGATTCATAGCGGTGGCTAACAGCTCCACTCGGCAGCAATCGCCTAGGGCTGCGACGCCACAGCTAAGCACTTCACACGCAGAGAGAGGGTAGCCCGAACTCCACCCTTAAGCGAGGAGGTTGACGTTGCCGCTCCCCGTCCACGCGTACAGCTCGCCGCGTACGACGCTGCCGGCCCGGCAGCCCCGCGGTGTCCCTTCTCCAGGGATCTGCAGCGAGCGGCTCTGGAGCCGCGCGCTGTGGCTCCTCAAGGAGCCGCTCTGTCTGCGACGTGACGGTTCTCTATTCAGAGACCCACCGCAGGCTCGGGTTCGCCACACACGCCGCATTGCGGACGCTCTTGAACTATTGAGGTCGGGTTTTTTTTGTTGGATGCTTTAAGCGAATTCGAACAAAAAACGCTCCTCTACTTCTTGACGTTTTGCTTGACGACCCCTGCTCCGGACAAACAGTGCGCGCCTGCCGCGAACGGGTGATGCGATGAACTCTCCCCCGCCGCACGCATTAACACACGCAGCATTGCCAACAACAAACAGCAGAAACAACAACACAACTTGTGATACACAGTAGAAAGTGGACACTTCAAGCTGCGCGGCTGGTCCAATGCCACCGGTGAAGCTCGTGCGGCGAGAGCGATGATGGTGGTGGTGGCGCCGTTCCGCCTCGCCGCTTGAAGACCCCACGGGTTGCGGCGCATTCGTTTAGCCGCTTGAGACAAAGCGGTGGCTATGAGATGTTAACTACCTCGCCTGGTATACAGAAGGTCGTGGGTTCGATCCTGACCCCGACGCCTGCTGTATATTTCGAGTTTGCAAAATACAAAAAATATTTACAGCCTTGTCTGGAAATCGGTCTTGGGTGCAACCATCGCCAGTATTACATTTCGCAAAAATGTCAGAGCGCCACGTGCGCTAGTGTTGTTGAAGTTGCTCACAACAACAACAACGACGGCTCAAGGTGACGCCGTGGGGAGGGCAGAGGTGGTGGCGCATCCGCCAGTCGTCGCAGTCGGTTAACCCGTAACACCTGGGAGTGTTCCGTGACTGCATGCCGTGGCCTCAAAGCGCACCTCGCCTGGGGCAAACGCCGCGGTGGCGTCACTGCCACTCAGTGGCACATGGCAGCTGTTGTCGCTGTGGTTGTTGCTGCGTACAGTGAGGGAAAAAAAGTATTTGATCCCCTGCTGATTTTGTACGTTTGCCCACTGACGAAGAAATGATAAGTCTATAATTTTAATGGTAGGTTTATTTGAACAGTGAGAGACAGAATAACAACAAAAAAATCCAGAATAACGCATGTCAAAAATGTTATAAATTGATTTGCAATTTAATGAGGGAAATAAGTATTTGACCCCCTCTCAATCAGAAAGATTTCTGGCTCCCAGGTGTCTTTTATACAGGTAACGAGCTGAGATTAGGAGCACACTCTTAAAGGGAGTGCTCCTAATCTCAGCTTGTTACCTGTATAAAAGACACCTGTCCACAGAAGCAATCAATCAATCAGATGCCAAACTCTCCACCATGGCCAAGACCAAAGAGCTCTCCAAGGATGTCAGGGACAAGATTCTAGACCTACACAAGGCTGGAATGGGCTACAAGACCATTGCCAAGCAGCTTGGTGAGAAGGTGACAACAGTTGGTGCGATTATTCGCAAATGGAAGAAACATAAAAGAACTGTCAATCTCCCCCGGCCTGGGGCTCCATGCAAGATCTCACCTCGTGGAGTTGCAATGATCATGAGAACGGTGAGGAATCAGCCCAGAACTACACGGGAGGATCTTGTCAATGATCTCAAGGCAGCTGGGACCATAGTCACCAATAAAACAATTGGTAACACACTACGTCGTGAAGGACTGAAATCCTGCAGCGCCCGCAAGGTTCCCCTGCTCAAGAAAGCACATATACATGCCCGTCTGAAGTTTGCCAATAAACATCTGAATGATTCAGAGGACAACTGGGTGAAAGTGTTGTGGTCAGATGAGACCAAAATGGAGCTCTTTGGCATCAACTCAACTCGCCATGTTTAGAGGAGGAGGAATGCTGCCTATGACCCCAAGAACACCATTCCCACCGTCAAACATGGAGGTGGAAACATTATGCTTTGGGGGTGTTTTTCTGCTAAGGGGACAGGACAACTTCACCGCATCAAAGGGACGATGGACAGGGCCATGTACCGTCAAATCTTGGGTGAGAACCTCCTTCCCTCAGCCAGGGTATTGAAAATGGATCGTGGATGGGTATTCCAGCATGACAATGACCCAAAACACACGGCCAAGGCAACAAAGGAGTGGCTCAAGAAGAAGCACATTAAGGTCCTGGAGTGGCCTAGCCAGTCTCCAGACCTTAATCCCATAGACAATCTGTGGACGGAACTGAAGGTTCGAGTTGCCAAACGTCAGCCTCGAAACCTTAATGACTTGGAGAAGATCTGCAAAGAGGTGTGGGACAAAATCCCTCCTGAGATGCGTGCAAATCTGGTGGCCAACTACAAGAAACGTCTGACCTCTGTGATTGCCAACAAGGATTTGCCACCAAATACTAAGTCATGTTTTGCAGAGGGGTCAAATACTTATTTCCCTCATTAAAATACAAATTAATTTATAACATTTTTGACAAGCGTTTTTCTGGATTTTTTTGTTGTTATTCTATCTCTCACTTTTCAAATAAACCTACCATTAAAATTATAGACTGATCATTTCTTTTTCAGTGGGCAAACGTACAAAATCAGCAGGGGATCAAATACTTTTTTCCCTCACTGTATATCTGTGCGTGTGTGTGTCTATGTGGAGCGAGAGGGCTGGAGGTGGAGGGCGAAGGAGTGATCAGTCGGCGCGTCCATCCTCTCGTTCCCCTGCCTCTCCAGATCTCTGCCGCTCATGGCATTAAAGCCCAAAGCCTGGTCTACTGGGTTTTGATGAAACCGCAGCCGGGCTGTGGTGATAATAATGATGATAATAATAAACAATTAAACGGCCATTCGCCTTCCTCGACATCGGTGCACGAGTGTGATGGAATCAACTTCAAAACCACAGCGCGCTGCAGTTTGTTTTGCTCCGCGATCGTGAACTCAGCTCAAATTCGCGGCGACCGAGAAAACCGAACGCGCGGATTGAAGGAGCAGGAGGGGGGGAAGGAGGGAGGGAAGGAGGAGGGGGGAGGAGAAGGAGGCGATGGGCGTTGTTTCCGTCGCGATATTTTGCCGCCGTGTATCCCTCCCGTGGCTCTCTTAGCGGCGTCTGCCGCTCATGGCATTCAAGCCCAAAGCCTGGTCCACCGGGTTTTGATGAAACCCAGCCTGGTATCGCTGGGTATCATCGAGTGGCCATTCGGACATCGTCGCTCTTTGAAGCGCGCCGCGCTCGTGGCCACCGCCGACGGACAAAGCGGTTATGCTCCAGTCCAGCGGCAACTCGTTGTCTTTTGCGGCTAAAATTCCCCGCCCATCGCTCCGTCGTTAGCGCCCCTCGCTCGACTTGTCTCACCACGACACCTTGACGCCGCTGGTCGGAGCCCATCAGCAGTTCGGACAGAAGACACGCTCGCGAATATTCACCCCGTGTGGACTGGGCCAAAGTCACTTCGTTTTCTCACAGCTCTGACTGCAGCCTCTCTGTCAAAGTTATTCTCAACGTTTACAAAAAACCGCGTTCTCTCTCTGAAGATGCTCTTCGTGCATTCTCTCTGTCCGTCTTGCGTCTTGGCTCAGGAGTGTCGTTGTGGTCGAGCCGTCCTCTGCCACGGGACGTTTACTGTTCGTGATCGGAGCCCCCGGCTGTAGCTTCGTCATCTTCTTGATGGCAGCGCAGAGCTGAGTGATGTTTTTTTGTTTGCTCACCACGCGGTGCTCGATGGAAGAGAGGAGAGGAGGGCCCTGGCACGGGTGGCGTCGGTGGCTCCCGCGGTCTCCGCTCGCTGACCCCCGTGCACGCAGCTCGCACACGAGGTGACAGGCACACGCTCACTCACGCGAGTAAAAATAACCAAAAGAGAGGACACCTTTTTTTTTAGTTTTCTTCTCTAAATTGAGAAAGTTAAAAAACGCAACATTTTTCCAGAATTAGTTTTGTGTTTACGAAAAATGAATACACATTCCCTTGTACCCACCCACCCACCCAGCCCACACATCAGTACCCCGGTACCAAACAGTGAGAAAGAACCACCCCCCCCTCCTCCTCCTCCACTGGGAAACGTCACGGCACGTGAATACGAAGACGACGTCACTGGACGACGCAGCGATCGCGCGGATTCCCCAGCGCCTTCTCGCGGATGTACATGAGGTCGCTGTTGACGCTCGGCCGCCGGGCGAACGGCGTGATCGCTCCGCACGCCTCCTCCTCCTCCACGCGGCTCGGCCGCTCCTCCGGCCCGCCGCCCTCCCTCGCCGCGGGCCGCCTGCGCCCCTTGCGCCTCTGCAGCAGCGACTTGCGCGCCAGCAGCTCGCAGTAGCTCACCGAGAGCTTGCGGTGCAGCGCGGGGCTCATCTCGCTGGGCAGCCCCGCGAGCGCGAACAGCGCCTGGAACATCTCGTCGACGCCCGTGTTGCGCTTGGCCGAGATCTCGAAGTAGGCGCTGCCGGCGGCGTCGCCCTCCACCAGCTCCTCGGCCTCCCGCCGGGCCACCTCGCGGCAGGCGTCGCCGCGGTCGCCCTTGTTGCCGCACAGCACGAGGGGACGGCACGCGTCGTGGGCGAGCGCGCGCCGCTTGGCCTTGAGGCACGCCTTCGTCTCGAGGATCTGAAGCCGCAGCTGCTTGGCCTCCTCGAAGGAGGCGCGGCTGTCGAGGCTGAAGACGACGACGAACAGGTCGCCTGGGGGGGGGGGGCAGCGGTGGCGCACGGGGACTGTTCATGACGAGTGGCTGCAGGTCATGCAGAGACAAAGATCCCCCGTGTAGCCTCGACAGACAGTTAGGGCAAGTGCTGTTAGCGAGCGCCTATGAAGGTCGACGCGGCACGTGACGGGATGGGTGGCATAGCAACCATGCCCGGCCGCCTTTGTCTCCCCAGTGGCGACGTTTACACACGCACGCACCTAGCCCAGCTAACACCCCCGCCCCCTCGCCTCCGACTGAGTTAAATGCTTCTCGTTCCACACACCAGAGCTACGGCGCAGCCTCTCCGTCGTGTGACACCCACGTGACTACTACACGGACAGACGGGGATCTGGTAACAGATTGATCATCAGTTCCTCTTTAGAGAGGGGGTTATGAACAAGAACGAGCCCCATTCCACCGGGGTAGCGGCAGCAGCGGCGGCAGCGAGCCGGCCAAGCCACTCGCCCTTCGTGACGAGCTGCTGGACGTCCTCCACCCCTTCCCTCACTGCTGCTTTGTAAAACCGCAGCAGCAGCAGCATCAGAGGCACGGCTCCGCTGGAATAACAATTGTGAGTTCAAGGTGGCAGCACGGTGTCTGTATTGTGCCGCCCGCCCCGCCAGGGCTGTCCATGGGGGGGGGCGCGGGGCCAGGCGGCAAACCCCCACCGCATGGACCCCCCCCCCCGAAGCCTTCACACTCGATGAGAAGAATAACAACATCTGACACCGTGACGTCGAAGCGCGGGCACCCCCCCCAACCCCCCCCAACCCCCCCCCAACCCACTCCCCTAACCACCCCAAACCCACTCCCCCCAACCCCCCCAGCCCACTCCCCTAAACCACCCCAAACCCACTCCCCCCACTCCCCCCAACCCCACTCCCCTAACCCCCCTAACCCCCCCCCAACCCCACTCCCCTAACCCTCCCAAACCCACTCCCCTAACCCCCCCAAACCCTACTCCCCTAACCCCCCCAAACCCACTCCCCTAAACCACCCCCCAAATCGCGGGGCCCGGGGCGGCCGCCCCCCGTCTCTCCGCACCCTCCAGGGTTACGCCTCTGGCCGCCGTTGCGCTCCGCAGAGGCGCCGAGTCGCGGGCAGGCGACCCGCTCGCCTGCCCGTCACAAACAATACATTAAATATGAATAATGCGTAAATATGAATGATGCGTAAAGAAGGACGATGTAAAAATACGCAGGGGCGTGACGAGCGGCCACCCAGAGTCACCCCGGTTACCCTCGATAAATGCGGATTGGATCGTTCGGTGAGAGGCTTTAAGCGTGCAATCTACGAGAGAGGTGGAGTGGTGGTGGAGCGGTGGTGGCGCGGTGGTTGGCGCGCTGACACGGAGAAGCCGGCAAATCTGAGTGAATAAAAAACAAAATCAGGAGGAAAACAACGGGGGTGCAAGTAGCGTAGGCTGCGCGTCACGCCGCCCCAACACACCCGACCTGCACCTTCCCCGTAAGCATGCAACGTTGGGACAACGTTGCATGCTTACGACGTCTCCTGTTTAGATGTTTGTTGTTTTTTTGCCAGATCGGGGGGGGGGGGGGGTGACGTAGTTCTCTGTTTCTGCGATGCAGATGGATGCTCACCGAGCCTCACCCTCGCCGGCCACTAACCCTGTGAACTAAGCGCGAACTCTATCCGCAGTCCACCGCAGTCCGCGTGGACATTCCTCATTGACGACAGCTCCTGGAGAGTTTGACCGCGAAACCATCCCCGGCAAGTGACGATGCGCAGCCTTGTCGAGACCACCAACTCAAGGAGTCGCAACTGCGGCATTTAAACAAAAAACATGTATTTCAGGCAGCAGCAGCAGCAGCGCATCTGTGTCACTACCCCCGGTTGCATCCAAGTCAGCTGATCCCAAGGTGCGTGCTGTTTGCAAATTGTATGAAATGAAAACCACGCGTTCAAGGTGTGGTGGCTGTTTCGCCGCTTAGCCAAGGGCCATTTTGTTCCAGCGATCCATCGCGGCGCGACTCTGAAAGAGCGACGTCTGTTACGTGGGGTACGGGGTGGGGGTACAGGTGGAGGGGGGGGGTACGGGGTTGGGGTACAGGTGGGGGGGGTACGGGGTGGGGGTACAGGTGGGGGGGTGGGGGTACGGGGTGGGGGTACGGGGTGGGGGTACGGGGTGGGGGTACAGGTGGGGGGGTGGGGGTACGAGGTGGGGGGGAGGTGCTGCGCTCCGTGCCAACATCAACACGCGCACTCGATGGCGCCGTCCTTGTCCTTGGGGTGGTGGTGGTGGTGGGGGTGGTGGTGAGGGTGGTGGTGGTGGTGAGGGTGGTGAGGGTGGTGGTGAGGGTGAGGGTGGTGGTGGTGGTGGTGAGGGTGGTGGTGGTGGGGGTGGTGGTGGTGGTGAGGGTGGTGGTGGTGGTGAGGGTGAGGGTGGTGGTGGTGGTGAGGGTGGTGGTGGTGGGGGTGGTGGGGGTGGTGGTGGTGGTGGTGGTGAGGGTGGTGGTGAGGGTGAGGGTGGTGGTGGTGGTGAGGGTGAGGGTGGTGGTGGTGGTGGTGGTGGGGGTGGTGGGGGTGGTGGTGGTGGTGGTAGTGAGGGTGGGGGTGAGGGTGGTGGTGGGGGTGGTGGTGGGGGTGGTGGTGGTGAGGGTGAGGGTGGTGGTGAGGGTGGTGGTGAGGGTGAGGGTGGTGGTGAGGGTGGGGGTGAGGGTGGTGGTGGGGGTGGTGGTGGTGTAACAACAGCGCCTGTACAGACTACCCACGCTGACACGGCACACGCGGGGTGAGTCTCCGACACCACGCCTGACCGCCTTTGTCTCCCCAGTGGCGATGTTTACACCACACCAGGTACTCATTTGAGGCTGAGTCGACCGAGGTGAGGCCCGTGATCGGTTCAGATAATCGTCACCGGTGTTGGCTGTGAGCGGGAATCGAACCCGGGTCGCCAGGTTCGTAGCGCTAACCGCTACACCACCGCCTTCCACTACACATTAAGGTACACACACACGTACACACATGTACACGTACACACACATGTACACACACATGTACACACACATGTACGTACACACACATGTACACACATGTACTTAGATACACATGTACACACACATGTACACATACACACACATGCACACACATTGTACGTAGATACACATGTACACACACATGTACACACACATGTACGTAGATACACATGTACACACACATGTACACACACACATGTACACACATGTACGTAGATACACATGTACGTAGATACACATGTACATACACATGTACACACACATGTACACACACATGTACGTAGGAGGCTGGGGGCGTCTCTGGCTCGAACCCCATGATTCGGGGTGCTGCGCGTTTCCGATTTCACACCTGCGACTCCGAGAGATTCCAGTGGCCTCCGTTCGCAATAATCCGATCAGTCGACGCATTTTACGAGGCATCGTAGCCGGGCTGTGGTGATAATAATGATGATAATAATAATAAACAATTAAACGGCCATTCGCCTTCCTCGACATCGGCGCACGAGTGTGATGGAATCAACTTCAAAACCACAGCGCGCTGCAGTTTGTTGCTGTTTGTTTTGCTCCGCGATCGTGAACTCAGCTCAAATTCGCGGCGACCGAGAAAACCGAACGCGCGGATTGAAGGAGCAGGAGGGGGGGAAGGAGGGAAGGAGGAGGGGGGAGGAGAAGGGGCGATGGGCGTTGTTTCCGTCGCGATATTTCGCCGCCGTGTATCCCTCCCAGGGCTCTCTTAGCGGCGTCTGAACCTCCGAAGGCATTGGGTGCATGCGGTGGGGGCCTTTACCACCACCACCATCATCATCACCATCATCATCGTCATCATCACCAGCACCACCATCATCGTCATCATCATCACCACCACCACCATCATCATCACCATCATCATCATCGTCATCATCACCACCACCATCATCATCGTCATCATCACCACCACCACCATCATCATCGTCATCATCACCACCACCATCATCATCGTCATCATCATCACCACCACCATCATCATCACCACCACCACCACCATCGTCGTCATCACCACCATCATCATCGTCATCATCACCACCACCATCATCACCACCACCTCCACCACCACCACCACCATCATCATCATCATCACTACCACCACCATCATCATCATCATCACCACCACCACCACCATCATCATCGTCATCATCACCACCACCATCATCATCGTCATCATCACCACCACCATCGTCATCATCACCACCATCATCATCACCACCACCACCATCGTCATCATCACCACCATCATCGTCATCATCACCACCATCATCATCGTCATCATCACCACCACCATCGTCATCATCAGCCCAATGGGTTCGACTCCACGATTCAGCCGCCTGCGATGTGACCTGGGCTCTCCAGTGTAGCGAGTGCGATGTTGGTCTCTGCACGCTCTCAACTCTTTCTTCAAAGTCCGTTGGGGTTTGCCGGCTGCGTGGTTGGTGGCAAGTGGGGGGGGGGGGGGGGGGGCACGAGTGGGGTGTAGAGATTTACATTTGGATTGCTGCAGTTCGCAGTGCATCACCCCGTGGTTGAGAATGACCCCCCCCCCCCTCCTGCCCACCGCAGGATGATATCACAGATCTACTTTAGAAGTGTCATCACAGACATTTTTATCCACACTAGGGGGCTCACCAATGAATGCCCTGCACACGTGTCTGTTGCTGTTGTTGCTGCTGTATGTGAAACTGGAATTCAGTTTTTTTTCAGGGCTGGTAATGTTGCTAAATTAATTGAAGAAAAATCATGAGGCCAAGATAATCAACTCTCTACACCCGAGAACCCAGTTTAATGACGGGTGGTTGAAACCCATAATTCTATCCGTGCTGGTACAGTGTTCTGAGCCTGCAACAGCTGAGCAGCTCAGCCACCTTTAACAAATATGTAAATTTACATTTGATTAAAACCGCTGTGATAATGCACGACTTCACGTTATGCAAATGATCCTCGTATAAATTTGCGACCACGGTACGAACGAGAGGCCAATTTTTTTTCCATTTTTATTTCCTGCGCGAGCGGCCGAGCCAACGCCTCTCTCGCGTTTGGGAGGCGCCCAAAGCTCAAATCGCCCGCGCCGCCGCCGCCGCTTCATTGGGGGGTCTCCGTCTCAAGCGGCCGCGGCGGAATCAAAGGCCCCTTCATGAGTAGCTCATAAAGGCACCCGAGGAATGAACTGTGACTGAGTCTCTGCGTCGTAATGATGCCGCGAGGTCTGACGGCGGTGAAGCGAGGACCACCTTGTGTACATCCTGACCCCTGCACTCTCATTCCCTGCCTCCCTCCCTCGTTGTGATGGGTGGCAGGGTTAGTGGCTGGTAGGCTAGTTGGTTATGGTCAGTGGCAGGGTTAGTGGCTGGTAGGCTAGTTGGTTATGGTCAGTGGCAGGGCTAGTGGCTGGTAGGCTAGTTGGTTATGGTCAGTGGCAGGGCTAGTGGCTGGTAGGCGAGTTGGTTATGGTCAGTGGCAGGGTTAGTGGCTGGTAGGCGAGTTGGTTATGGTCAGTGGCAGGGTTAGTGGCTGGTAGGCTAGTTGGTTATGGTCAGTGGCAGGGTTAGTGGCTGGTAGGCTAGTTGGTTATGGTCAGTGGCAGGGTTAGTGGCTGGTAGGCTAGTTGGTTATGGTCAGTGGCAGGGTTAGTGGCTGGTAGGCTAGTTGGTTATGGTCAGTGGCAGGGCTAGTGGCTAGTAGGCGAGTTGGTTATGGTCAGTGGCAGGGTTAGTGGCTGGTAGGCAAGTTGGTTATGGTCACTGGCAGGGTTAGTGGCTGGTAGGCGAGTTGGTTATGGTCAGTGGCAGGGTTAGTGGCTGGTAGGCGAGTTGGTTATGGTCAGTGGCAGGGTTAGTGGCTGGTAGGCGAGTTGGTTATGGTCAGTGGCAGGGTTAGTGGCTGGTAGGCTACTTGGTTATGGTCAGTAGGAGGGCTAGTGGCTGGTTGAGTCGTTGGTTATGGTCAGTGGGAGGGTTAGAGGGTTAGTGGCTGGTAGGCGAGTTGGTTATGGTCAGTGGGAGGGTTAGTGGCTGGTTGAGTCGTTGGTTATGGTCAGTGGGAGGGTTAGTGGCTGGTTGAGTCGTTGGTTATGGTCAGTGGGAGGGTTAGTGGTTGGTTGAGTACGGTACTTATTTGGTTATGGTCAGTGGCAGGGCTTGCACTCATGGTGTAGTATTAGTGGGTGGCTATCTTGGTGGGGAGGTGCAACTCGGGACCTAAGCCACGATGTATCTCCACACCCGGCACATCACATCCAGGATCCCCCTCTCTATCGGCTGATTCCTACTTGAGCTCCCAGGGCGTGGAGTGAAACTTAGCCGGCAGCACTGACACGCCGAAACGTCGGACAACGCGCGGCAACCACCCGGAAAAAACCCCATCGGGAAAGGGGAGAGAGAGAGATAGGAAGAGAGAGCAGCGCATCGAGTCTCCACCCCCACGCCGTACCTGTGAGTAGGCAGAGCCGGCGCATGGCCGGGAAGGGATGGTTCCCGGACGTGTCGAGGATGTCCAGCTGGTAGAGCTCCCCGCGGATGCGGTACAGCTTGCGGTGGAAGTCCTCGATGGTGGGGGTGTAGGCGTCCTCGAAGCGGCCGAGGAGGAAGCGCGACACGAGCGCCGTCTTGCCCACCTTGGAGGCTCCCAGCACCACCATGCGATAGGCATTCTTCGCGGGCACGCCGGCCGACGGCTCGCGCGACGGCGCCAGGCTCATCATGACGCCCCCCCCCCCCCTCTCGCCTGCTCGAGCCTTCGCTTTAGGGCTCTCGACGAGCTGATGTCTGGGAGACACAGAGACAAAGATCACCCCGTGTAGCCTTAGCCAGGCTGCTGTTTCGCCATGAGCGCCCCATGAAGGCCGGCGCGGCAAACGAATGGGGGGGGGGGGGGGGGTCAACAACACGCCCGGCCGGCCGGCCGCTTGCGTCTCCCCGGTGGCGATGTTTACTACACACACAGCACCAGATACTCATCTGAGGCCGAGTCGACCCAGCGGAGGCCCAGGACCGGCTCAGATAATCGCCGTTAACGGTGTTGGTGGCCGTGAACGGGAACGGAACTCGGGTCGCCGGGTTCGCGAGCGCAGCGCGCTAACCGTTGCGCCACCGCTCCCCGCAAGAGAGGGACGAGATGAGCCGTACAGGACGCACCAAATGGGCAAGCGGTGGCAGCGGAGCAGCTGCTGAGTTGCCCGAGGCCGAGGCAGCGGCGTGGACCCAGAGCGGTGGGCCCAGAGCGGTGGGCCGAGCGCTGAACCGCTGCCACCGTCCAGATTCAAGCATTTGGCTTTCAGTCGCCTCTCATCAAAACGGCACAGGTGACAATAACAACGCAACACAATTCCGAAATATATAATAGGCGACGTTTCGGTCAATGGACCGAAATTTCTGCCGATCATATAAATATATTTTCCAAAAGCGTCCCGGTGTTGTTGACGAATGTGTTGTTGTTGTTTTGGCGCGTATTCACCAAAGCCATCGCAGCAGAATACATTAAAAAAAAACTGCGTTTAAACCGGCTTCTAAAATGACCAGCGTGGTGAAGTATGGCCAAACAACCACCGGTGAGGCCAACCCGTCTAGCGGTGGATCGACAAAGCGCTGCACAGTCGCTTTGCCGTCGTGACCCGCTTTGTGTCACCTCGCGCGTCACGCTCCTCGCACTGGCTCGCCCGTCGCGAGCCTCGTTGAGTCGAAGGGCGCTGGAGCCACGAGGGGTTTGAAGGGCAACTTCGTGCACCGACGCTCACTGCCACCAGGCGTTGGCCCAAATAGAACCGCGACTGCTTTTGGAACGTTCCAGTAAGCCTGAAGTTGGTCGACACGGCCTCGACAAGAACGCGTGCCGAATGTCAGCCCTTCCTGAACCTTCTCGAACATCATTAGAATGTACAGCGTTCCCCCGAGTCGCAGTCATCCATATGTATTAGGATGCGGTCGCCTAGCACCTCCTGTTCAGACCAGACCCGTACATACACCTCGCTTTGCACTCTCATCCCCATGAATGCATAATCAGCACGCGTGGAAATCAATGCTTCTGTTGTATGCGTTCGTCATGCGCAATCCAGCGCGTGCTCACCGCACGTTGGTAGGTGAGGCGAAATCGACCTAGGGGTCGACTCAGCCTCACCTACGAGTACCTGGTGCGATGTGTAAACATCGTCACTGGGTAAACAAAGGCGTTGTGCTGGCCACCCACCCCCTCGTGTGCCACTGCGGCCTTAATAGGTACTCGCTAACAGCGCTACACGGGGAGGGGATCTTCGTGCCTGTTGAGGCAGAGACGTAGTTCCCAAAAGGATAACTCAGATTTCGCGTAAAAGGATCGGCCCTACAACTAATTAATGACGTGCTCTCGCCACTGCTGGCCAAAGAGGCTCTACGAGAGGGAGCTCCAGATAACCCTTATCGAGGCTATTTGGCCTACTCTTCCCACGCCGGCCTGACATCTTGGAAGACAATGTACGAAGCACAATTATGATTATTATTACGACTACCGTATTATACATTTACAGGCCTATCTCAATCCACTGCTGGATGAATCGCCTCCCCTCTTACGCCGCCGCGGTCGGAATTGGGAGTTGCCTTGACCGTACCTGAATAATGAATAATCAGAACGCCGCCGATCACTGATGCGCGTCATTAGTTTGCCGGGCTCAACGCGCGCAACCGCGACACTGCGTGCTCACCACCACCACCACCACGTGCAGCAGGTAAACCGCAGTGGTGTGTAAACACGGCTGCGCAGTGCGCACGTCCTAATTGCTTCGCACCTCCGATGAGGCACGGCTGCCTCCGTGCGGTGCGCATGGGGGGGGGGGAGTGGTGGCGCAGCGGTTAACGCACTGGCGCTAATATCGCGACCCGGCAGCCCGCATTTGAGATCGACTCGCCACAACCCCACAGCCAATAGCCGCTGCTGGTCACTCATTTTCTGCATCGGTCCTGCACCGACCTGCACTGGACCAGCGCGTGGTGAAGTATGGTCAGAAAACACCCGTGACGGACGGGGGATGCGGAGGCGTTCATCCAGCAGTGGATTGAAGGGCCCACACATTGTCATTCATTATATTCTGTCTATTCCACGCAGGTGATGAGATATTCGTCTGAAGGCGCGTGTAAGCCATCAATCGGTACTTTTATCAATACAACATCGCTGCAAATTAAAACTCAGATGCGGTTATAAAGTGGCCACAGGCTAGAGTAATTCAATTGTATGAAATGCATTAATTACGCTTTGCGCAATAGCTAAAGCAGCGACGATGTATCATTCGCGTCGATGTTAATAAATGTTCTGCGTGACTTGTTGAGCACAGAGACGCTGCCCGTGTTGTCGTGAGACGCCTTTGGCGATGGTACACAATTAACAATGCCTCGACACATACCTCGATACCACCCTCGTGCCACTCAAGGGGAAAATCATATAATAGGTGACGTTTCAGCAAACGGGCCTTCTTCATAGCACACAGGTGATGGGACCTTTGCCCGAAACGTCGCCTGCTAGGCTTTCACAGTTGCCCTTATACCGCCGGTATATTCGGGTTAGCTGCGTGGGGATACAAGCCCAACCTATACTCGGGTACAGGCAGTAACCATCGTTGTCAGAGCCGTACCCTAGGGGACGACCGCCCCAGGCCCCGCGCTATGGGGGGCCCCCGCGCTTCGACGTCACGGTGTTAGAAGGCTTCGGGTGTAGTTTGAAGGCGCAGAGGGCCCACGCGGTGGGGGGGTTGCCCCGGGCCCCGCACCCCCCCCCGCCTCCCAATGGACGGCCCTGACTGATGTAACTGAAGCGGATTATTAACTCTGAATCACTCTGCACACTCTCCCCTCTCTGCGCTGCGAAGCCGAATCTTTCAGGGCCGTGCTATTGACGAATGTGCTGGGCTTTTGTGGTTTTATACAGTACGCATACACATTATGTGCTTTTTAATTCGGACTGCTCTAAGAAAATGTATCGATGTTTCGGCCGAGTGATCTGCTTCAGGAAGACAATTTAACACATTTGTACTGCCACCTGTAATGTGTCTGTGCAATACCATCGACACGGCACGTGTCTGCGTGTTTGTCTTTCGTTGTATTTGTGTATGCCATCAACCCGGCGACACGAGTTCGTTTACCGCTCATGGCCAACACCAATGACGATTTAATTATCTGTGATTGGTATTGGGCCTCTCCGAGAGTGACTACGTCTCAAACGTATACATGTTGAGGTTGAATCAACCTAGGGAGACAAAGGCGGCCGGGCGTAGTGTTGGCCACCCACTCCCCTCGTGTGCCGTGTCGGCCTTCATAGGTGCCGCTTGTTAAACAGCACTTGCCCCAACAGTCTGCTAAGGCTACACGGGAGATCTTTGTAGTGGTTAGCACAATGCGCTCCGTGTGCGCCGACCTCAGTTCTATTTCCTGCTCACGACCAAATTAGTACGAAATATTTCAACTGGTCCTTAAATAAGTACCTGGTGCGGTATGTTAAACATCAGCACTGGGGAGACAAAGGCGGTCGGGCGTGTTGTTGGTCCCACCATCCCACTCGTGCTGCCCTTCGTAGGCGCTCGCTAACAGCACATGCCCCACAGGTCTGTCAAGGCTACACGGGGGATCTTTGTCTTTGTCATTTTGCTGTTTTCTATTGGTGATCCTGAGCATGTGGTGGACATTTCACACTTCCATGACTGATTTAGTTTATCCATAGGACACTCTGTTGACAACCTAAAAAGCAGTACCATGTGTCTGTGAGTCTCTGCGTGTCTGCCTATGTGTGCTCGTATGTTAAGTTGTGCGTGTCATGCGATCTTCACGCGTGCCAGCGTATCCGCCTGTACAAGCCTCCCTGTGTTCATCTGTGCTCGCCTGTCTGTATCTGTCCATGTGTCTCTGTCCGGCAGTCTGTGTGCACAAGCACTTTGAACAAAACAAACAAGTCGTCAATACTACTCGCTCCTTTAGAGAAATCGACGTTTCGGGAAATGGTCCTCCTTCGCACCACATATGAAGGGCCATTGCCAGAAATGTCGCCTATGATATATTTTTCACTTTAAAACCACAGCGCTATTGGCGAAATGTTGAGTGTGTGCATGTATTGTTCTCTTAGCTGACAGCACACACACACACATAGGTGTGTGTGTGTGCTGTCAGCTGCTCGCGAGTTTACAGGATCGGCTTTCGCGACCAAAATCCATAACGGTTTAAATTTTGATTTAGTTTTCACACCTGATAATGACTGTTTGTGTTACAGTCGAAACGTCGTGAGAATTTTATTGTTTTATATATATTTTATTATTGTATTGTTTCCCTTCAACGTGACTTTACCGAAAGAACCAAGAATATAATATCCATAACGGTTTGTTTGGGTTAGATCGCGTAAATATGTGTCGTTCACAAAACGTGACAATGCGTTACTAGTTCAGCACACCGGTGTGTTGGAGAGTAAACCCACGACAACATTTACAATCTGAGTACCGTAACGCTTCGCCGGTAATTACAACAACAACAATAACCAGCTTCATCAGGCACTTTGCCAGAATTGTGAAGACGCCTTCCCACCTGTTTCGGCGAGCGATGGAATGTGCGGAGCAGCAACTCACCTGAGCGGTGAGGAGGAGGAGGGAGCGCAGTTGACAATCCCGAGCCAGACCTGGGCAGCACGTAGCGTGATGCGCGCTGTCTCCTCGTGCTTATGAGCGCCGCAAAGCGACGTGCAGCAAAGAGAGCAGCTCACCACCAGCTCACCAGCTCACCACCAGCTCACCAGCTCGCTCGCCCGCCGATCTAGAGCTGCGGGATGATCCTCGCAGCCACGCGAGACTCAAATCCGCGAAACTGCACGAGGATTCTAGCGATGCCGAGCGAGTCGATGGAGCGAGCAATCTTTATAGGGCGAATGCTGAAGGTATTACCCAGCGATATCTGAGCTATGTGTGTGTGTCTGAGTCTCTCTCAGTGTCTGTGTGGAAGCGCTCGGTCCCGTGCGCGTCGCGATGGAGGTGAGGAGTTTAATGAGCGCAGCGTGCGTCCTGCACGCGCCTTTATAGGGTTAGCAACACCCCGATCCTCCCTCCCTACCCCTACATCCTCACCCTCGCTCCACTCCCCCTCCCTCCCTCCGACGACATCACTCCCGTCGCTCTCACTCTATCGTGCATTTCGTACATCACTAATCCCGTCCCATCACTGCCTCTCCCCATCGCTGTCACACCATCACTCCCTTCATCCCGACGGTAGGTCGGGGCCCTGTCAGACCCTTGACTCCCTCCATCATCAACTCCCTCTTACTCCATCGCTCGTTATCTCCATACTTCCTCTCTCACGAATTCCATCCCTCCATGCATCCCTCATTCTCTCCATTAGTCACTCTATGACTCACCCCATCACTCCCTACCGCCCCAATATCCTCCCTTACCTCTCTCGTCCTCCATCACTTTATGCTCCCTCTTCCTCCATCACTCCATCCCTGACTCCATCTGTGCCTTTCTCTGTCCACCCCTCCATCACTGCTTTCACCGTCACCGACCTTCATTCCCCCTCCTCTCTCCTTCCATCATGTTCCATTCTTATCCTTTCCTCCTACATCACTCTCCCCAACTCTCTCCTTCCTTCCATCACTCCCGTTCCCTCCATCCTACCATCATTCCCGCCTCCCCTACCATCACTCCCTCCCTCTTACCATCACTCCCACTCACATCCGTCTTACCATCACTCCGTCCTACTGCCACCCTGACCACCATCACTCCCCTTCCTCCCTCCCTCCGTCCCTTGCAGGAGTAAGCCGGTAACCCACATCACGGGTGCTCGCTGCAACACCCGCGCGCGTGCGTGCGCGTGTGTCCATGATCAGTGGTGTAGCCGAGTTCATAGCGCTACGCTGTGCTATGAACCCGGCGACTCGGGTTCGATTCCCGTTCACGACCAACACCAGTGACGATTATCTGAACCGGTCCTGGGCCTCCCCTAAGTCGACTTAGCCTCGAATGAGTACCTGGTGCGGTGTGTAAACATCGCCACTGGGAAGACAAAGGCGGCCGGGCGTGGTGCAGGCCACCCATCCACCCCCTCGTGTGTCGTTCCGGCCTTCATAGGCGCTGCTCGCTAACAGCACTTGCCCCTACAGTCTGTTAAGGCTATACGGGGGATCTTTGTCTTTGTTTTTTTTTGTCCAGACACACGATTGGACGGATGAACGTACACACACGTGCACACGTGGATGTGCGCGTGTCTTCTACTCTGATCTTCTGTGCTGTCCGCGTGCCTTCTACTCTTCTGTGCTGTCCGCGTGCCCTCTACTCTGTCTTGTCGACACGGTCTTGTCCCCGTATGAGCTCTCTCATCTGTCTCGTCTGTAGCACGCAATTTAATTTGTATTTTCTGTGCCATCTTTCCCGTAATTAGCACAATCGTTATACATGCTCGCACATTCCGACCATTATTTTAGAGCAAATATTGCGTGTAAAGTTTGCACAAACTAAGAATTCATTGCGACGATCCTACAAATGTTTTATTCGGGCTATGCCACATTTCTGAAAGGCTCAACCTGGGGACATCGTCAACTTGCGGCCCCTCCCTCCCTCCGCCTGCCACGCCCACATTTACACTACCACGCCTCTTTTACATAACCACGCCCACTTCTGCATAACCACGCCCACTCATTCACGAGCCCCGCTCATACCTCAGAAGGTGAGAAGTGTTAAGTTCCCACCGAGTAAAGCCCGTAGAGCCAAGAAGCTCTTTGTCGAGGGTAACTCGTCCGGCAGACATCATCGAAACATTCCACAATTACACATTTAAAGCACAAATGTAATAATAATTGCAAATGTTGTTGTAAAATGACGTTCACACTTCAACTTTATGGATTTTAATCGAGTCAGTTTAAATGAAGAGCGGGATGGCAGAATGGGACGTGGCAAGAGACGAAACGAGCGAGTTCCAAACACTTTGGCGCAGCTACGTGAAATGTTTTTAATCCAAATTGTGTGCGAAATCTGGGAACTATTAATAGACAAATCTACGGCGCGCGTCGCCGATATTTTGTTGATTGTCTAATGGGTGATGGCAGGCGAGACTACGAAGAGCGGCGGCTCTACGGACCAGAGCCTGACACTGGCCCCGCCCATTCCTGCGCTAACCCCGCCCACCACACAGGTAGCCCCGCCTACTGCACAGGTAGCCCCGCCCACCACACAGGTAGCCCCGCCTACTGCACAGGTAGCCCCCACCTTCTACACAGGTAACCCCACCCACTACACAGGTAGCCCCCACCTTGTACACAGGCAGCTCCGCCCACTACATAGGTAGCCCCACCCACCACACAGGTAGCCCCGCCCACTACACAGGTAGCCCCACCCACTACACAGGTAGCCCCACCCACTACACAGGTAGCCCCCACCTTGTACACAGGTAGCCCCGCCCACTACACAGGTAGCCCCGCCCACTACACAGGTAGCCCCGCCCACTACACAGGTAGCCCCCACCTTCTACACAGGTAGCCCCACCCACTACACAGGTAGCCCCACCCACTACATAGGTAGCCCCACCTACACAGGTAGCCCCACCCACTACACAGGTAGCCCCGCCCACTACACAGGTAGCCCCGCCCACTACACAGGTAGCCCCGCCCACTACACAGGTAGCACCGCCTACTGCACAGGTAGCCCCACCCACTACACAGGTAGCCCTGCCTACTGCACAGGTAGCCCCCACCTTCTACACAGGTAGCTCCGCCCACTACACAGGTAGCCCCCACCTTGTACACAGGTAGCCCCGCCCACTACACAGGTAGCCCCGCCCACTACACAGGTAGCACCGCCCACTACACAGGTATCCCCACCCACTACACAGGTAGCCCCACCCACTACACAGGTAGCCCCTGCCCACTACACAGGTAGTCCCTGCCCACTACACAGGTAGCCCCACCCACTACACAGGTAGCCCCACCCACTACACAGGTAGTCCCTGCCCACTACACAGGTAGCCCCACCCACTACACAGGTAGCCCCACCCACTACACAGGTAGCCCCACCCACTACACAGGTAGTCCCTGCCCACCACACAGGTAGCCCCACCCACTACACAGGTAGCCCCACCCACTACACAGGTAGCCCCACCCACCACACAGGTATCCCCGCCCACTACACAGGTAGCCCCACCCACTACACAGGTAGCCCCACCCACTACACAGGTAGCCCCCACCTTGTACACAGGTAGCTCCGCCCACTACACAGGTAGCCCCGCCCGCTACACAGGTAGCCCCGCCCACTACACAGGTAGTCCCGCCCACTACACAGGTAGCCCGCCCACTACACAGGTATCGTGGGTTGAGCATGAGACCAGAAAAATGGTAAACCAGAGTCAGGAAAAATATCGCAATGTTCACAACAGACATAGCGGACAGATTGTTTTACTCCAGCGGGACTCGCCAAACCGGGACATTTGGTGGCTTAATGTAACCACCAGAATTTAATTAAAATCGATAATTAAATTAATCGTTATCTTGTGTATACTACAACATTCGTCAATACCACGACCTTACAACGAAATAAAAAAAAACCCATAGGTGACGTTTTAGGCAATGATCCTTGTACAGAGCATATAAACAGAGAAGGCCAGAGAGATATCGTGCGTGACATTTGGAACATATGTAGGTCTCTCCTGCCTTTCTCGCCTTCGTTCCGTCTGTCAGCCCATGTCAGTGCTCCTCCGTGCACGTGCGCACAACGTGTCTGGCGCACAGCGGGAGCTAAAGTGATGCGAATTAATTTGGACAATTGGAAAAGGGCTCTTGCATGCATACGGATCAGACAGGCAGGTCTGGCTCCCGGATCAATTGTCATGAATGCGAGAGAGACGGTGCGTGTATGACAGCGGGCGAGATGCAATCCATCTCTGTGCGTGTTCAACGCATACGCACATCCGTTTTGTCAAATCCAATTGCTGGATTATGAGCCCGGCCAATCCCGCGTCAATCACGGGCCGGGCTCGGAAACAAAAAATAACAAGAAGAGACATTTTTTGTTCAAACTCTGTAACAACCCCCCCCCCACCCTCAATATTTCAAGAGCCGCAACGCAACGTGAATAACGTCACGAAGCAGCGGTCCTTCAAGAGCCACCGCATGCCGCTTCCGAGCTGCAGGTTGCCGATCCCTGGGCGTGACGGACAGAGAGCACAGTCACGGGTGCGTAGAAGTACAGTCCAACAATTGCTTTGTGTTTTTTCTTTCTCCACTATCCTGTGCTGCCCACAATTCAGCCGCTGCAGCAACAGCAGCCGTAGCAGTCACCCATCCAATGACTATCCAGGCTCAATCCCTCCACATGTAAAATCAACATTACGTGTTTGTAGTGTTTGTCTGCTGCAATAAATGTCCACGTGACAAGCCGCTTCGTCGAGCTGTCATTGGTGATGGTCGCTTCTGAAAAAAGAGTTGCATAGCTCAGTGGGCCTTACCTGGTAAAATAAAAAAAATGTTTAGCAGAGTTTAGTTTAATTATTTTATTGAGAGTTGATATGTTGATATTGACAAAAGGAGCCCATAGATTCCGCCACCTGTTTAGGAGACGGTATTTGAAAGCAGTGGGGTAACAGAATCAGAATCTTTATTGAGGCTGCAGGAGGAATCCGATAAGCTATGAAGCTCTTTTCCACAGATGTCCAGAATGGGCGGGTGAGTGATCCATCTCTAAATGGATCACTTGGGCCCTCTCCGTCTGTGTATTATAGAGAGTAGCAGACAGCAGGTCGCCTGCAATGCTGAAGGTGGCTGGGTGACTAAACTGGCCTCATGTGAAGCGAGGACTCCGAGCCAGCAACCCCCCCCCCCCATGTTCGCGATTAAATTGGGTTCCCGATGGATGGCCCCTAAGAAGAAGGCATCTGATAAAACGCGGTTTTCACGTTCATTTGCCTTAAAGTCCGGATCGGAGAATTAAAAATGTTGGTTTGACAGACAACCTCGTGGGCGTAGTGCGCCACTGATTTTTCGCCAGGCGAGACGGAGCTGATGGACTGACTGGTGACTACGCAGAATTAAATGCGCCGCTGTTGTTGTTTAATTATTATTAGTGGCTATTTCC